TGCCCGCCCCGCCAGCACCGCCTGCAGCCTTCTCCTTGGCAGGAGGTGCTTCTCCCCGGCCACACGCCCCTGGGGGCCCACAGTTCCGGTGGGAGAGCAAAGGCACACGTCTTTTGGAAAGTTATTTAGCAACACGGAGCAGAAACCTGCCTCTGCAGCGGATGAGGGTACGGATTCTGGCGTTAAAGAGACATTTAAAACGCAGCTCTGCCACTGGCTAGCTGTGCAGCCAAGGGCAGCGGCAGCCTCTCAGGGTCCGTCACTTCCAGTAAACAGCCGGACTCTCGTGAGGACTCAGTGGAAGGAGCGTGGGAAGCGCCCACGTGCAGAACTCGGCTAACGGCAGTGCTACGCGCTGTTCCCGTGATGATACAGGTGAGGACACGCCGGGAGGGCAAGGACATCCACGCCGGCATCTGTATGTGAGTGGAAGTCTGGAACCACCTGCAGGTCAGGCTGAGGCGTGTGGCGAGGTGGGCACGCTCATCCATGAGGAGGGCTGTCCACAGCCACCTGCAGGTCAGGCTGAGGCGTGTGGCGAGGTGGGCCCGCTCATCCATGAGGAGGGCTGTCCACAGCCACCTGCAGGTCAGGCTGAGGCGTGTGGCGAGGTGGGCACGCTCACCCATGAGGAGGGCTGTCCACAGTCACCAGCAGGTCAGGCTGAGGCGTGTGGCGAGGTGGGCACGCTCACCCATGAGGAGGGCTGTCCGCAGCCACCAGCAGCAGGAGTTCAGGGACAGGGCGCCGGTCCACAGGACGGGCGTCGTGGAGGCGGCAGGTCCGCACAGACGCAGGAAAGACGGCCGGAGTCTCAGGGGTGCTGGTGAGCAGCTGAGTAGGAGGGTGCAGAATGAAATCGTCTCTTCCCTAACTTCCAGACTGTCTGTAAGGCCGCTGGGTTATTTTTACAAGTAAACATTATTTGAAAGGAGATTTTGCGTGGCCCTGGCCAGAGTGGTGAGCAGGGCCAGCCTCTGGGCCTCCGGGGGCCGAGTCTGGACTGGTCTCCTGAGTGCAGCGGAACTTCACACAGCCAGCCCGCGGCCAGTCCGGACTCGTGTGCCTGGGGGGTGTGCTGTGCCTCACCCCCAGACGTGAGACGAAGGTGATCAGGACTGGCGGCCTGTCAGATCCGATGCATGTGGACTGCAAACCCCTTAACCACCAAGACCCAGGAAACAGCCGATGTCTGGGTTGTCGTGAAGATGAAATGAGGTGAAGTCTGCATGGAACCATCTCCTGTTCTCTCAGCAGCTCTGGGAGGGCTGCTGCCCTGTCCCCTCCTGCGGTGAACGAAGACAGCCTGGCAGAGAGGCATCTGGGGACCAGCAGGTCACCCCGCCTCTGGCCAGGGTGCCCTGGGCCGCCGCTGCCCTCCCACGCAGAGAGTGCAGTCATATCAGGTTCTTAACAAAGAGCCTGGAGGGTTCAGAAGAAAGGGTGAGGCCTCTGTCCTCAGACAGTCTCTCTCTGAGCCTCAGTCTCTCCATCTGTAAAATGGGAAAGCCACTGCTACCCTTCACAATCCAAAGCGACATTCAGTGAATATGCTTCTCTTCCCTTCCCTTCCCCAGATGGAAACACCCAGGCCCCAGCGGACACTGCTTCTTTGGCAGGAAGAGGACTGAAGAGCTCTGGTTCCCAACTCCAGGGAACCGGAGAAGGAGGGTGGCATGGGCCCCCCTCGTAGGACCTGGAGCTGTCTAGGAAAAGCCAGACCGCGGTGGACCCCCATGGAGAGTTAACTGAGAGAATGAAGCCCAGCAGCATGCGGAGTCCCGGCCCTGCCCCCTCGAACTGGATGACCCTGGGACACGGTCCAGTCCATGTTCTGAGCCCGAGTCCCCGTTCTGTAGAGGGAGAAATGAACAGCAGCCCGAAGGGCCCAGAACAGAGAACAGGAGAGGTGCTCCACCCTGCTTGCTGCTAGCCGGCCCCTGACCCCAGCCCTGCTGCTGGATCCCTCCCACACCAACTCCCACCCAGGGAGTGCTCGGGGCAGTCCACCAGCCCTGTTCTGAATGATAATGGGAGAAGCTAATAGCTCTTGGGGAGAAACAGTTACTGAATGTTAATTAGCTAATGTTAACTGAAGAACCGAGGGATGCTTTCCCCAGAAGTCTTTCTGAAGTGTTCTTCCAATTGCCATCAAATGGTTTTAAGGGGCAAGGACACCTCCTGTTGATTCAGGAAGAAAATCTGACATAGGAATAAAATTCATTTTGGGAAAATTCAGGTCCACACGAGTCAGCACGGGGATTCCCTTTGAAGGCCTCTTTTCAAAACCCTAAGTAGCTCACACCTAGTAGGGTTTCAAAGACATCTGCTGAAGAATGGGTACACAGATGGACAGATGGACATCACCTGGAAAGGAAGAGACAGACTGCAGTGGACGGACTGGCCAGAGCGTGGGTCCTGAGGAACCCCAGACCGAGCAGGCGGCCGGGAGAGGGGCTTGTCGTAAGCAGTTCCATCTCTCTGTCCACAATGTTAACTATTTAACATGCTATTTGAAAGGAAGAGTTGGGGCAAGAAGTCAGGAAGACTGAATCCCTCCCTCTACTTCAAAGATCCCTTACCTCTCCTGTCACCCAAATCCTCCACATTTCCCACGCACTCAGATGCTGCCAGTGGAGAGAGCGATCCAGGAGTCCAGAAAACCAGGCCAGATTAAAGGCCCAGGCACCGATCTGTGTGCCCAACACGGAGCCACCAGCAACAAAGGCCCATTAGAATTGGGCTCCTGCCTGCTGGCTTGTCTTCTCGTGTCTCCCAACACAATGCTGACAGATTGGGGGAGCTGGTTTCTTTCCTCCCTAGAACAATATTTTATGAGGAGTCTGTTTTATTAAAATATTTTCCGCTGGATGCTTCCTGTGTTTCAAGAACTTGGTCTTGCCAGCTGGAGCTGATGACAGTTGAGAAAAACACATCCAAGCGCTGTTGTGACACGGCATGTGGAAGTGGAGGGGCCAAGGTGGGGGTGGGGCACATGGGAAAAGACGCAGGAAACACCCGGGCCGCACCACGAATGTCAATGGCATTATGGGAGAACAGCCCCCACCCCCACCATTAACACATGTGAACAGAAACTCCTGGAATGATGTCCCAAAGCGCACCTCTATCTGTGACGTACGGTCACAGAGAACCTGTTTGTTTACTGTCACCGCCAGTGTGCCAACCCACTAAACCACCCCCCTGCCGCCAGTGGTTCGTCTCAGCCCCACGTCCGCTGAACAGAAACCTGAAACAAGGCACACTGAAGAAGAAACAGGAAGCAGTGCTGACACAGTTCTGGGCACGAGCAGGAGGCCGGGATTACCAGACCCTGGCTCTGGCGCACACTAGCGGCATCTCCTATCACCGCTGGAAAAGCAGCGGCGAAAACAGACGCGATTAGGAGACCCAACCTCTAACCGGAGCCTGGCCACAGAATGGGTAATGCTTCCACCAAATGTGCAGTGATGTTGGTCTGGGTGACTCTGTGTGGTGCAGGGGTATTCTGGGTTCACATTTCAATATCTACAGGCCAAGACCCTGCACCACAGTGCAGTGGCTAAAAGACAGCCCAGATTTAAAGTGGTGGCTTTAAAGAAGAGTGACTAGTTTCATACCCCTAGGGAGAAATCTTTAGGGTCTGAGAAACTCTGATGCCATTCATCATTTTCTCCACAAGGGGGCAATCATCATCCATGCCAGTCATGGCCAGGGACCTATTCCTCAATACCCCTACTGTCCTATTGTCAGAGCAAAAGTTAAACCTACACCCAACTTCAGGAGTCCTCTGTTCCAAACTGGACATAACCAAGCATCTCCCAAGACAGACCTGCGCGCTTGTGCGTGTGCGCGCGCGCACACACACACACACACACACACACACACACACAGTCTCCTACAGCTCTGGGCAAGCTTTGAGGGCTGCCTGGGGAGGCTGACTCTCTGACACAACAGTCTCGGCCAACACCGCACTGTAAACCAGGGAATCCTGGAGGAGCTGCAGTGTACTGCAGTCTGGGGTCGGCCACAGCTTGACATTTCAGAACAGTTTCTTCCCTCGGCTCCTTTTCTAGCTGGGGCCCACCATTTCCCGAAACTTCTTCCCCTGGACCACTTCTGAGAGTAGAGCAGGCATGAGGAGCATTCCCCTCTTCACCCAAGGGACGTCAGGGTCCTTGGGCAATGCTTTCGGTTTCCCAAACAACCCGACTGAGATGTTCTCATGTACTTTTTCAAGGGATCACAGGAGGCCAGTGTGTAGCTGAGTTGTGTGGGCAGAGCCCAAGGGCTGTGTGCCTTGGGGACAAAGGGAGGCAATGCACCCCGTGATGGAAGCAGTGGTCCCTGCTCCAGATGGGGGGTGCACAGCTTTGGGCCTCACCCTATCCAGGCAGCTCTGGCCACTGCTTGTACACCTGCCTCATCATTTACCGCATCTACCCAACATCTACCAGGCAGGTGACTCTAAGGTGGGTCCTATGCTAGGTACAAACCCGAGCGCCTGCCCTGTGGGCCCTGGGCCTGAGGGGAGGTATGAGAACAGAGCCCAGATAACATACAAGCTATGGCACAGGTAAGCAAAGGGGATAGGACAGTCCTGTGTATACGCCTAGGCTCTGGAGACCTCGAGCCCCAGGCCTAGGAGGGGGCAGGCCCTCCTTAAGTCACCTCCTTGACTAGGCTCCAACTCTCTCCTCCTGACCCCACATCTTCAGCATCAGAAAAGGCCTGGAACCTTCTCCTGAGCCTGTCTGAGTACCCTTTGGGCAACACCGCTCAAAACCCAGCCCAGGTGGCCGGCTGCTTGGCCTCTGGGCCTCCCACTGGTGTGACAACGGCCAGCAGCAGCAGCATGAGGTCAAGCCCAGCTCCTGACTGGCCTCTCTGAAGCTCCCGCCTGGGCTCCAGGAAAGCCTTTCAAAGGTGGGGCAGCGAGGGGGCCGGAGTGCTGGCCCCGCTGGTTTTGCAGACGGAGGGGCGGGGAGCAAGGGGGAACTCACTGCTCGGGGCTTGAGATGGACGTCCTTCGGCCTTCAGCCGTGATGTTGCTCTTCGGTCTCCTCACAACATGTGGGCGGGGAGGGCGCACCTAGAATGGGCACGGGGAAGGACCCCAAGAAAGAGTGAGTTGGAAAGCCGTACAGGAATATTCGGAAGTTTAAGATAAGCAACCCCCAATAAATGTTGAGGAATCTTTACAGCATGGGCCACAAAGGCTCTGCTAAACCCCACCACACCCGAGCTGGAATTCCGGGCCTAAATGGGAAAGCTTCTCCGGAGAGCCTGGGCCCCTCATCTGCAGGTCGGGGCCCCTCCCTGCCTCTCACAGGGCTGCCACGGGGGCGCAGTGAGGTTCTGTCTGCACAGGACCCGGACCAGAGGTCCTCAGGTCCATAAGGCCCCACTCACCGCTTCTAGAACCCAGAAACCGGTTTTGTAGAACAAAAAGGTGTTACTCAGACTTTGTATTTAGGGTTCATGTGCTTATTATTATTATTTTTACAATTGAACTACAGGATGTTTTTATTTCCCTCTCTAAATGGGAGAGGGAAGAAAGCAAATAATAGCACTGGAGAATGCCACACAAATCACTGTCTACTGCCCAGGGCATCCCGTCCGTGCAGCCCCCACCCCCAGCAGGGTTGAACATCCTGGGGGGTGCTACACGGCGGGGGTGGGGGTGTACGGACAGTGGCGCGTACAGCTTCCTAACCCACAGCTGAGCTGCGGTGACAAGATGGTTTCTTTTTCCTGATCTGCTGACTCCTTCTCCCCCTTTGGAGCCCGGGCTGGGAGTCGGGCGAGAATCTCCGTGCGTTTCCAGTGCCAGAGAGGCCGGAGAGGGCTCAGCCGAGAAAGTCTACCTGCGAGTTTCACAGCCAGGAAAGATGACTGAGCCCCGTGCAGGCGGCTTGCTCTCTCTGCAGATGAGGGACCAAGCGGGAAATGCCACAATGGCTGAGGTTCTCGGGCAGGACAGGGAAGGGGAGCACACAGGCTCCATGTCCGGCCCGCCCTCTTCTCTGAACCCCACCCCCACACAATTTGTGGGCGACACAGCACAAAGGCTTAGGAACACAGATGACAGAAGTTGGCTACGTAAAAGACAAGTCTTTATAGAGTCTGATCAAGCCCTCAGGTCTCCGCATGTCTGCTCTAACCCTAGTTTTCCCTGTAGATTGGCCTGTCTGATCTCAGCCTCCTCTGGCAACCAAGATGTGGCGAAAGGAAAAAAAAAGCCAGATGCATCCCACCAGACCTGCTGCCTCTGAGGGGTGCCGTGAAGACCCACTGGACGCGCCGGCTCGGGGCTGGCACACACTGGGGCTCCGTAAGCGCTCACCTTGCTTCTCCTGAGGGAGACTGTCAATAACAAAAGGAGCCGGGGTGGGGTGTCCCTGAATGAGAAGACCTGATGTGATGGCCTTACCCTTGCCTAGCATCCTGTTCAGTCTGGTATTCGAGTGGTCCCTCAGCCAGATTTTTAGAAACAAATTAATGCCGCTGCCTGGAATCTGAGAAGTGCATAAGAACGTTGCTATTACCATCGCTGTTGTTAGAACGGTGCTGCCACAAGCCGACATCCAGTCACCATGTGCTGGGTTCCAAGGGATACGCCCCCACCCACTCTGACGGTGAACTGGTTTCGGCCGGGCCAGAGGCGGCTGTAAACAGGATCACCTGGCTGGAATCTCCCCCAGACTTCCCACCACAAAGGCGGGCGTGCCGTGGGGCGAAGGCGCAGCTCCGCCCTGCCCCGGGCGTGCAGGACAGGGCAGACATCAAGGCCTGCCGGCCTGTCCTTGCACATGGCTGCTCCCTGCTACAATAAAGGCGGGTTAGGAATGTGAACTTGGGGCTGAAATGGGGGGATTAAGTTTGTGGCAACCTCAACTGAACTTGCAACGTGGTGAAACATGGGGAAAAAGAACAACAGAGCTAATTAGACGCGCTGAGCTGTCAGAGTGCCGCTGAATGGCTCAGCGCCAACAAACAAAAGGAATGGCTTGGCAATGAGCAGGATCGATGGAGAAGACTGCTTCATTAGGGATGATAAAACAGACAGAGCGGGAGAGGGGAGGGGCAGGGGAGCGGGAGGCAGGGGCAGGGGAGGGGGAGGAGGCACAACAGACCTGGGGACAGTCAGTCACCAGCACCGTTACTGACACACCCAGAGTCACACACACCTGACTGGTGTGGACAAAGCCAGACACAAAAATACACTCACAACCATCCAGAGACATGCAGAGACCTTGAGATTCCAACATGTACACATCTCACAAACACACGCGCGCGCACGCACACATGCACACGGGCGGCCTCAGACCTACAGCTAGAGCCGCAACCAGGCAGACACACAGAGACAAAATGGTTTAATTAAGCCCAGATCACAAGGCTGGCCCGTCATTTTCAGGGATCACATCGTGGTTCGGGGGTGCGCAGGAGGGGTGGGGCTGGGGACGAGGGGAGAAGCCACATGCGTGCACAGCAGCGACCACTGGCCCCACAGGGTTAGAATCCCAGCAGCGTCAGGGGAGAAAATGCTAAACAGGGATTTTGAGCTCTGTTCAAGGGGGACTTGAGGGGAAAGTTGGGAAACCAGCCAATTCCCCACCGGATTTAAAACCTGAGAAATCTAAGTCGGCGGGGTTAAATGTGTATTGAATACAAAAGCACTGAGTACGTTGGATTTTAATGGTGAGTGAGAAGTAATAAATAGAGAGCTTATAAAGTGCTTCGCGTGCACCGACCACAGCCTGCCTCTCCCCGTGTGCCCCGACCCACGCCCCTCAGCCCCCGCACGGCAAGGCGGTCTTCTGCTCTCGCTTCTCTCTCTACGCAGAAAATCTCCATCCTCGGGTACCATCTGAACTCCGGCCACAGGTGCCAGGCTGGCCTCCGGGCCCCACCACCCTGGCCAATGGCTGCACTTCCGCCCGGAACCTTTGCAGCCAGGTGACCTGGCGAAGCTCAGCTGGGGGCCAGGGGCTCCTGACACGGGAGCTTGTCAGACCATCCTCTTCGCGGTTCTCGAGGGGCTGTATATCCCCGGCCTTCAGGCTCACCCCTAATGTGCAGTGGTGCCCACTGGACATGTCTGGATGAGTGCAGCGGAGTGAGCAGACCCCGGGGCGCTGGGGCCACAGGGCTCTGAACGCACACACCTTCTAGGATCCCAAACTAGCCCCACAGTGACCCTGCTTGGCAGGTGTTCGGGTTGGCAGGAGTGTCTGTGTCCACTTCATGCTAGGGACTATGCTACGTACTAACTGTACACACCCTCATTACCCTCGCCAGGTAGGTTATGCTACACCCACTTTATAGACGATGAAACGAAGGCTCCGAGAAGGTCGATGTCTTGCCCAAGTGTGGCTGGGCTGTGACTCAGACCAGGGCAGGCCTCTCTGACTTCTGAGCCCGGAGAGCTGGTTCTGCAGCACCCTGACTCTTCAGTGCACCAAAGCCCCGGGGACCCGGGGCATGCAGCGGAGTGGGGCTAAGTCACCTCCTGCGCCAGGGCAGGGTTCGCATTCCCACACGCTCAGCTGCGAGAGGGTGTGGCGACCTCTCTGTCCCCACTGCACGAGTGCCCACACCATGCCCACCAGCAAGACAACACGGAGTCCCGGCAGCTGTCTCTACATCAGACTTTTCCCGAGGAGAGCGATCCTGACCTGCATGGTGCTTTCTAAGACTCGCTGCCTGCCTGGGTCCTAACCTCTTGAGATTTCTGACCGCTGGGCTGGCTGGCTGGCTCGAGGAGTCGGGGCAGAGGCAGGCTGGGCCTCTTCTCAGCCCGGTGGTCTCAGCTGCGCACGGAGGAAACAGACCTGCCTCGGCCGGGCTGTTGTGAAAACAAATAATCACACGTGTGTCTCGCACAGTCCCAGGCACATGAAAGTGCTCAATAAATGTGAATCCTCTTCCCGTCTGTGTCCCTGCCGGGACCTACGACTGCCCAGAGAGGCCACAGGGGCAGCTGCTGCTGCTGCTTCCTCTGCAGGAGCCCCTGCCACGCACCTCACCCTGAGATGGGGGCGGCGCCCGGGGCGCTGGGCACGCGGAGACTCCTGTCTGCAGCTGAGGGACTTGGCCAGGTCACCAAACATGGTTTCTCATCTCTACGCTGGGTGGGACAGTGCCTCCTTCAGAGTGGCTGTGAGGCTCACCAGGTGGTGTGCCCAAGGTGATCTGCTGACCAGGCGAGTCCTAGCAGATGACTGCTATTAAGAAGCTGTCTCCTCAGAAGCTGTACGATTTGAAACCTGCTAGGAAGACCAAGAACGTTTCCTGTGTGCCAGGCTCTGTGCTGGGCACTTTACAGCCGTCGGGCGCTCGTGCTCACAAAATCCCTCGTGGGTGAGGGTTTGGCGCAGACAGGAGCGGGCTCAGAGCTCCAGTGCTCGCCACGGTCACGCAGCTCCGGTGCCCAAGTCCGGCTCTGTCTACGCCCCCATCCACGTCGCTAAGCACTGTGCTGAAACTCTCTCTAAAGACTGGAAGCGACCGCCTGTCCCCACACTGGTCTTTGTGCTGTTTGTGCCTTTGGTCCCCACAGTGAGCAGACGCGTTCCGGCCTCTGGACAGCTGCGCTGGTCCCCGTGAGTGGCAGCAGCAGGGGTCCATCGCGACTATCACCGGCGAAGGCACCTAACCCCCAGCCTCCACCCCAGCCCTCTCACTTCCACACACGGCAGGGGAGGAAGGAAACAGTCCCCTGGACCTTCCCACATCCACAGAGAGAGCAGCCCCTAACGCTGGGTGTGCACCAAGGAGTGGACGCAGCCCGGTCCAGCCCGGCCCCTGGCACCCCGTGCCCCGACACCTTTCACAGCGTGGACTTGGACAGGTGCACTGAGGGTGGGAGGGCGCTGGGCACCCATTTTGGGGAAACCCTGGTCGCAACCAGCCAGCCGGGGATTCAACCCCTTTTGCGCAGCTGCAAGACCGGTGGCCACTTTGAACACAAGACAGAGAAACTCCTCTCTTGGGAAACAGTCCTCACCAATGGGCCCAGCAAGTTCCCACTTTGAAGAAACCTGCTGAAGTCGCGAGGCCTCGGCACGGCCAAAGTCTGAGCTTACAAGGAAGGTGACTTCACCGCGGCCGAACTCGGGCCGCACACTGTTTTCCACGGCGTTTCTCTATGCAAAGGCCGTGCGGGTCTCCGTCTTGCCTACCCCTCTGCCAAGTGTGGGTGGGTTGGTCGCACGTCATCACAGGGGCCGGGGCACTCCACCGAGGCCCGCGGGAGCACCTGTCTCCATCTCAGCTGCGCCACCTTCTCGGGGTGCAGCCTCCGCCCTTGGGAGGGACATCAAGTGAATTTCCGAACCCAGATCTGGCGAGACGGAGCCCCTGCCGCCAGACTTTGGGAGACACTCCAGCGCCCCGCACACGGCACGCACACGGCACAGCAGCCCCGCGACCTCCACCTCGGACCTGCAAGTCCCTGAACTGCTTCCCCAAAAGGAGGGAGAGGCCAGAAAATGCAAGTTCGGGTTCATGCCACGCAGAGAGGGAAGCTGGAAACCCCAATCCCCGGTTTCCTTTTGCAAGGCAGCTGAGTTCAAACTCCCGAGGTTTAGTCAGGCGGGGGCAGCAGCCCAGGCAGTTAGTCGGGAGGGCAGAACCACCGGCTACTCACGGGCCTCGAGCGCTGTATCTTGGGAGGCGGCGGGCGAGCGGGACGGAGTCTTTGTGGCTGTATTAAAGCGAAACTTAAAACATCAGTACACACGGAGACGGTTGAATGCGTTTGCACACACGGCTTGGGAGCAAGCATCCATCCCCAAGCCACAGCCCTCGACCACTTGCTTCCCACCCCCACACTGACTGGTGGGTCCCGGGTCCTGCACATTGCATGTCTGAGGCCCTTTCTTCTGCCAACTTCTTCACTCTAGCCTCACCCCTGCCTGGGTCTCCTCAGCCACTGTCCACACAGGCCGAGGGGGATTTCCCAAAGTGCAATACGACCCTGCCACACCCCACTTGGAGACTTCTGCTGTAATGCCCCTACCCTGCCCACCACCCATCCTTGGGTGACGGTGCAGCAGGGTCTCGACTGGCATTCCAAGACCTCCAAGACCTGGGCTCCGCCACACCCCACACATCCTTCTCATCCATGCTTCCCGGGGCTGACCCCAACGGCCCTAGGTTCTCACGCCTTGTTTCCTGCCCGCCCTCTGGGGGATGACTACCCAGTCCTGATCTGCCTGGCAAATGTTTACTTGTCCTTGAAGATGCTGCCCAGGTCAGATGATGCCTTCTGTGCTCCCTGCTCCCTGGGACTTATCATGAACAGGAGGTACCTGCCCCATTTCTCAGTATCTTTTTTTTTTTTTTTTGCATTTATCTTCACATAGAGTGGGAGGGAGAGAAAGAGAAACATCAATGTGAGAGAGACACATCGAGTGTTTGCCACCCAAACGACCCCAACCAGGGCCAGGGACAAACTGCAACCAAGGTACGTGCCCTTAGCGGGAACCGAACCCGGGACTCTCTGGTCCACGGGCCGACGCTCTAACCGCTGAGCAAAACTGGCCAGGGCTCCCATTATCTTTTAAAAAATTTTTTAATAAATTTATTGGGGTGATACTAGTTAATAAAATTATATAGGTTTCAGGTGCACAATTCTATAATACATCATCTGTATATAGCATTGTGTGTTCACCACCCAAAGTCAAGTCTACTTCTGTGACTGTATATTTGACCCCATTATCTTTCAAATGTTTAAATCCTTGTGCCTGGGAAGAAAATATATGCTCAATAAATGTCTGATGAAGACACAAAATGGTACAAAATGCTTGGCTTTTGAAATCTGGATTTGAATAAAAAACACAACAGAGCACAGGCTTCTTGGCTGTGCCCTCAAATCCTTTCTCTTGAGAGTCGAGCTTTGTCCTTCCGACGGCTGCCCGGGCAGGTGCCCTCGACAGTCTGGGGAGGAAAAGCCCACACAGGCCGGAGGCCTCGGACTTCAGCAAAGCCTGGGAGGCTTCCGGCTGCTTCCTGCCCGGCCCACCACCGGTTCCTCCGACGTCGTCTAGGCCTGCCCTGCCCACGCAGGAGCCCATGGCCACTGTGGCGAGTGAATTAAGACATGCCGTAAGGGTAAACAGCACACTGGATTCCAGAGGCTTAGTGTGAAAAAAGAAAGTAGAACACCTCAGTAATTTTCAATAATGATTACATGTTGAAATGAAATTATCTCGAGTATCTGGGTTAGTTTATTAGAATAGACTTGCATGTGTGGCTCCCGTGACATTTCCCTTGGACAGTGTGCTCTGGAGGACCTCCCTCCAGTTGGCCGAGGGACCCTCCAGAGAGCAAACCTCAGAACTCATTCTCTGAACCTGGCTCCTGGAGGGGGGGCCCTGTGTCCCAGGCATCCCTGGGTCCCAGTGCCCTGCACAGGGCCTATCAGAGTGGTCTGTGGGGAAAATTCGCCAAGGGACTTGGTGGAGAACTGGGGTCCTCAAGGCACATCTAGAGATCACCTGGATAGAAAGATACTGCGGCTTCCCAGATCCTGTGCCATTAGCGGGGGGCGGGGGCCAATCCGTGCTCAGTGAGCCTTCCTCAGTCGGAGGCCATCTGGGGCTGAGGACGTCACCCACTGGGCCTCCCGACTCACAGAGCTCATCAGGAGGGAAGCAGGATGGGGAATGTGGAGCCACCCTCTGAGGTGGGGTGCTGAGAGGCTGCCCCCGCCCAGATGCCCGACCCAGACCCCAACCCCCTGCCCGCACACACGCACCCTCTCCTCCGCTCTGCCCCCCTTGAGCGTGGCCACTCCACCGCTCCAGCTCCACAGCCCTCACTAGTTGGCACCATGCCCGGCCGCTCCCCTTCCCCCTGGCAGGGTGGCCATGTGGCAGAGGCTCAGGGGGCAGCTTCTGGGGTCCGACAGTCTTGGACTGACCCTCAGTCCTCCACTTGAACTCTGGGCTCCTACAGGTCAGTGATTTTAGCCATCCAGCCTTACTTTCCTCATTGGTATGCGCAGGTAACGGGGCTCCCTACCAGAGGGGCTGCCAGGAAGACGCAATGGGATGACGTTCCCCAAGGTCTCCCCACAGCACCGCCCGGAGACAGGAGCAACCATCCCATGAGCAGGTTTTCCCGCCTCCAGCTGCCCCCCAACCCATTTCTGCCTCTACTTGTTCCAGAGTGGACTTAAACAAAACACAGCACACGCCCAATCGTGTCACTCGCCGGCTCAAATCATCTCGGCGGAGGGCTGGCATCTCCCGAGGTGTCGTCTGAGAAACACCACCCTCGGAGATGCACTGTGCGAAGGGAGAGGGGGGGTTTCCAGCCAGACAAGCTGGAAAATGCTGTCTACTGTCTTGTTCCATTTGGAGATTCACAATGACAGCACAGGAAAGGAAGTCCTTGCAATAAAAAATAACCCACCCTACACCGGCAAAATTCTATTAACTCCTTTTGCTTGTTCTTTGAAAAAAAACCCCAAATACTTTTATTAGCACTTATTTTATGGGCTTACTCCCGGGCCATACATCTTTGCTTCTTCAGTTTCTTCCGGGGTATGTTTCTTCTGTGCGCCCTCCTCATCTGGTGTAGAACCATCTGCTCTTTCTCCGTGGCGTCACCTCAGTGTGGCAGGGAGGGCGCGTGTGGGTCCATCCGCCCGTGCCTCCGTCAGTTCCGGGCCACCTCCTGGAAGCTCGTTCACCTGGATATGCTCAGTGGCCATGGGACCTACATCCAAACCCCGAGGTTCAGCATTGCTCTGCATTTTTAAGCGTGTGTACCAAAAGTTCAGCGCCCTTTTTGGGCCACTGATCCCGCGTCCAGCCCCATTGGGCACACGACCAACTCCGCCCTGTAACGACGGAACGGCACACATTGCTCCTGCAAAGTCATATCCTTCAGGTACTTGGTGGCTTTCAGATGTGCATGCATCCTCTTTTTAATTTTGTTCATCCTCACCCAAGGATATTTTCCCTTTGATTTTTAGTCAGAGTTGAAGAGAGGGAGAGGGAGAGAAACACCAATGTGACAGAGACACTACAATTGGCTGCCTCCCGCACGACCCTGATCAGGGCCAGGATGGAACCTGCAACCCAGGCACGTGCCCTTGACTGGAACCTTTGGTCCTCGGGCTGATGCTCCAACCACTGGGCCAAACCAGCCAGAGCTGGATGTGTGTCCCCTGAACCTGGGCAGCTTCATGAGTGTTCTTAAAGAGAACTCAAAGATTTGGACCTCTTGATTTGCATGATTTTGTGGGGTTTTCTGGGTCAAGTGAATAGCGAACCATTTTGAGAGGTCACCTCAGGCTGCTTTTGGGAAGAGACTCCTTTTTTCTTAAAAGTTCTGTTTCACCAATTTATTTGAACACAGATTCACTTTCCCTACGGTACCCATTAATGACCCCTTGGAAAATGCTACCTGAAGTGTTCAAAGCCCTCCAGACCCCGAGCCCCATCCACAATCCTCTGTAATCTTATCTCTGGTACCCCTGCCACCACGATGCCCACCCCACGGGCCCTGCTCACCCACTTGCTTTCCCGCAGTGCCTCGTGCATTCCTATGCTTCCCTGCTGGCTCCTTGGCCAGAAACACCCCCCATTTCCTTCCGTCTCATCCTTGGTGCTAGGATTCGCCCTTTGCTACCTCAGGCACTGCCTCCCCCGGGAGGCCCTGCCCTTTCCTGAGCATGTGGGTCAGGTGCCCCCCCCCCCCCCACGTCTTCAGAGCACAGAGGTTGTAATTACTAGCTTACTTGTTTCATTGCTCTGTTTCTCCTGGGGTCTAGTATAGTACTAGGCACATAATAGGTGCTCAGCAAATGATTTTTGGCAGAAACTTCCTGGCGTATGGAGAAACTCCACAAGTGCTAGTTCTCCACATTCTGTAATCAACTTATTTTCTTTTGATTGTCACCAGGAAGTGCTGGTTCTTTTGCACCTGAATTTATAAGTGGTGGGAGGAATGCAGCCCCTAGAGCACACCCCACCGGGAGCCAGCAGTGTTGGCCAGGGGACTGAGACACCAGGAGAGCGCAGTGTGGTAATGTCCTGGGTGCAACCATGAGGGCCCTCTGCAGGGTGCAGAGTGCATGACGGCACTGCCCAGAGCCAGGTGGACACGGACACTGCTACACGCATGCTTCTCCTTCCTGGAGGACAAAGACTTGGGGGCTTCTAGGCCGCATTTCCCAAACCTGCTGGGGTGGGGTGACCATCGAGGACACAGGCTGGGGAGAGCGGAGTACTCTGAGGACAACCAGAACAGGCCACAAGGATGAGGGAGTGGTGTGATTTGAGTGGGAAGAGGGAGTAAAGAGAGAAGCCAGGGAAGAATCAACTTAATGCACCGTTTCCCAGAATGTGGCCCCAGTGAATCTGGGAGGGACTGAATTGGGAGCCAGGACAGTGTGAGGGGCCCAGGGAGCGCCACACAGGTGGGCCAGGAGCTTCCCGAGGCCAGGGCCCTGCTCTCTTCTTCTCTGCGCCCCAGCCCAGCCCAGGGCCTCTTCCCATGGCCCAGTGGGAGGAAGCATATCCTCTGTGGACAAGGAGGCAGACTGGAGAGAGGTCCAGTGGCCTGCTCAGGACCCCACTTGGTAGCGGGGAGCACTGGGAGTGGGTCCCGGGCCTCCTGACTGTGAATCCAGTGTGCTTCCCGCCGCTGGAGGTGGTGGCTAAACCAGAAGAGCCTTAGAGCAGAAGCCGA